CCTCAATAATCCCTATATGAGCTATAGTTTAAACTCCTTAAAAGGGGTTATATACAGGCGATCATATAGGGGAGTAGTTTAGGGGTTATTAAGGGGGATACCAGGAGTTTAGACTATGTCTCAAATGTGGTAAGGATCTACTGCTTTCAGGGTTTAGGACTTTAGGGTTTAGGGTTTGGGAGTTAGGGTTTAGGGTTTAGGGCTTGGGGGTTGGCGTCCAGGGCTTCGGCTCGCTGAACCCCGTGGTGTTTGTGTGTATTGGGAAGACATGGGTTCTACATGGGGTCTAGAAGAATCATTTGCGGGATCTTGGGACGACGTAGAGGAGATTTTTGCGGGCTTGTTGCGTTGGCGGCTGCGAGCAGGCTTTCGAGGTTGCCTCAACCCTAAACCCCAAACCCTGAACCCCAAAACCTAAAACAACCCAGGTGGTGAAGAATTCGGCCTTCGCGTGGGCCTGGCTTCTTTTTTTGTCGCTGGTTGGGTTTGAGATAAGGGCATGGAGGACGCCATGGCGGACGCCAGAAGAGTTCCGTAGGACCACAACACATTTTATGGCTTCGGGTTTAAGGATCAAATTGACATGGTAAGGAAACCCCATTATTTACGACATACCCGTATGATGGCAACTTACTTCAAGCTCCTCCACAACAACCCAGTTTGAACGCGAGCTATTCCGTCATGAGGATGCAGCCCTTGGCTTTTTCATGGCAGTTTCCCTCTCGACAAAGACAAGCTGGCGCAAATCTGGAAGCGGCCTGTGCCCAAGAGGGATAAGCGAAGTCAGCGCAAACACAACCCCCAATCTTAAAAGGACTTCCCGAAGAGGGGGTCCCCCTACTTCAAGACATGATAAAATCATTAGTGTACATATATATATATATAATGCCATCATATATTTTAATATACTATCATATACTAGAATACACTATCATATATTTTAATATCTGATGCCTACTAGGGACCCCCCCTAGAATCTGGGAAGCCTCCCAGAAGATGATCCCAGACTCGTCTGATTCCGACCCTAAACAATACACCCTAAATCCTAAACCCTAAACCCTAAACCACTTAGGACCGAGATGAAAAACAGAAGCACGGAACTGGAGCGGCGGGAGTGGATTAAGGCCCAACGGTTTAGGGTTTTAGGGATAGTGGAAGAGAACATGGAAACAACTATAGCATACTAGGGTTATATAGGGTTTAGGGTTATAGAGCAGGAGAAAGCGATGATGTTGAGAAAGGCCATTCTTTCCATGCGAGATAAACGCAGAAGAGTCTTGTGGTCCGATGCATTTCCCGTATATCAGCCTCCCCAGACTTGCATGGAACCCCAATGTTTTGGAGTTCCATGTTAGTTTGGGGAGGGTACCTGGACCCTGGATGTCCTACCTTTTTTGGGTGTATACCCTATAAATGTGTGGGATAGAACCCCAGAAAGGAAGGACATCCAGGGTCCAGGTAAGCCCTGAAAAGCCCTTCGGCGCAGACAACGGCGATCCCGGCGCTGGCCCAGACGCCTCTGCTGGGCGGCTGTGGGGAGCCCTGGAGTTCCGTAAGCCTTCATTTTTAAGGTTTAGGGTTTAGGG